CATCGACTATTAATTAGGCGAGTTCTGAATGTAGTTGATTACACTAAGTTATATTTAGGAGTATCAGAGGTAAAAACATATATACACATTTCATTTTTTGCACTCTGTGGTTGTAAAGTGGCACATTTTGGAAAAGGTCTAGGGACATGAATACTGTCACGACGAACTGCTTGCTTAAAAATGTCTCATATAGAAAGTTGGTTACTTACGCCCGTCACTCTGAGCACTCCGTCTACAGAGGAGAAGAGGAGGTAGAGGAGTCCAACGGCCGCCAGGCGGTGCACCGTGGTACCCAGCCGTGGTCTGCACCGCAGGGAGAAACAGGGATTATTCAGCCGCAGTTCATGCGCCGGGCTCCTAGATTTTTATCTTTCACAGCAGCTGACACACCTGACTATGCCATAACCAAGACTGACTATGAGAACCAGGATTCGAGCCAGGGATCGTTTGAGCGCAGAGAGCAGCTCGGCAAAAATCACAGCTCCCAGGACTGCAAAAACAGAAACCAAAATGCAACAAGACGGACTTGGGGTGGGGGGGAAATGGAAAAACAAACACGCCCAGACCCGAGCAAACATGTCCGACCGTAGTCTCCTTTGTAGCGGATGCTCTGGTATTCGGAGTAGAAGACGGCTTTCTCCAGCATGCCGAGGATGATGACGGCGCCGATCCAGTACTGGATCCGCAGCAGATCCCTCCAGTAACAGACGCACCAGAAGAGCCAGAGCGCCCCGAACAGAACGTACACGATGCACATCACCATGAAGAACTGGGAGAGAAACGCACGCAGCTTCACTTTGAGGCCATGCAAACAGCAACCGAATGAGGTGCAGCACTAATAAAGAAAAAGAAGGTGAGTTATCCTTCAGGAAATAAAGATGCGTACGATCATCAGAGGCCAGTCTGCTGGGGACGAGTAGTCATGTGGTCCTTTCATCTCCACTTTCACTGAGGAGTTAAAAGGAAATCGGTCACTGGTGATATTTAAAAGCTGATTTTAGAAGGAAATTTTCTAAAAAGAAAAGTTTTACAAATAAAGTTTGGCCCTCACTTGTGAAAGCAAAGTTGAGCTGCTCTGATAAGATGTCTTCTATCTCCAAGCTGCGAGCCACAGGCTGCACCTTCACTATGAACAGGTAGGGCCCGTCCACCCAGGCTTTGGCCACCGCGCTGATTTCCTGGAAAACATCACTTAGCCTCGTCAGTGAAAATGAGCAAAAATCTTTCCAGATTTGAGAATTTTGAAACACAAGGGCACAATTTTAATTTGAAAAACATAAAAAAAAATTCTGTTTATTTAAAGGGTGCACCGATTTGAAAATCTGGGCCGAAATCGATGTGCAGCCACATCTGGATTTCAGAAATGTGAAACATAAAGCTAGGATTTTTATAAAAAAAAAAAAAAAAAGTTCAGCTTATTAAGGGAAGCACCATTTTGAACATTTGCGCCGATGCCGATATCGATATGCAATATTCTGCTGCTATGGCCGATAATGTTACCGGCCAGCAGCTATAATAGTATTTTTATATTTACTATATATACATTTCCAATGTGGTGGTGTCCTCACCACCACATTGCTTCCCATAATCCTGTGCTGCATCACTATCATATCACCAATACCGATATGATAAAAAAGTTACTAAAATCGACCAATACAGATACCAATACCAATATATCGTGCATCTTTAAGTTTTCAACTACTAAATTTTGGTTTGATGTATGGTTGGGCATTTATTGTATTTTGATAAGAATTATGATTTATTGTTGTCTCAATAAATGTCAACTATTGATGTTAAAAAAAGACCTTATTTTTATTTTCTCAACTATTTATACCACAACAGTATCAATAAGTATCAGTAAAATTGAAAATATGGTTTAACGCAGTTACTTTGTACAATTTAGTTAAATGTAATAAAAGGATTCCTCACCGGTTTTTCAGGCCAAGTAAAGGTCTGATTTGATGGATCACTCTGAAAGACAAAGTTACAATAAACAAAGAACACCAATAAAACCGTGCGGCCGTGTTAAACGACGTCGGAGCTTTCAGACCAATGAAATCAATCACCTTTGGACTGGACAGTGGCTGATAGGGGTTGAAGTCTGGGAAATAAACCTGCAAAAAAACCCCATTTTTTTCAAACGTGTTCAGGTACCGCAGGTGTTACCGAAAGCGAATACGTTTTGTCAGCTTTTACCTTCGGGGTGAAAAGGTAGGAGCAGTTCTCAAAGTACATGTAGCCCTGAGTGTAGAAGCCGCTCCAACCGTCTTTCAACATGTGGTCCATGCCGAACATGTTCATCGCTTTGTTGTCCTTCAAAAAACAAACAAAAACAAAAACATAACTGGATTTCATCTGCAGTTACGATTTACTAAACAGGGTGAAAACATACTCCGATCCGTATATTTGCACATTTGCTTATTAATCGCATGAAAAATCAAGATGAGTTCAATAATTTCCATTCTGATGTTCAATATTTTTTGAAGGGAAATTTTGTTCACGCAGACATCATAATCCATTTCATTTACGGTTTTAGTTGTGTGGTTCTTATATCAGTTTAATTCATTGTTTTGGTCGCCATGTCTTATTTTGGATTAGAGATGCACCAATATAACAATTCGGGTTTGATGTCGATATCCGATATTAGCATTACTGTTACTATCTCTACTGTTTCAGCACCAGACCAAGCAGAAACGGATGGCAACAAGATGAAAATAAATATTGGTTGTTCATATCAGCCCAGTTTCATTTATCGGACCGATCCCATAAAAAATGATTTTCATTTGATATCGATGCTAGCACCGATAAATCGTGCTTCCCTATTTTGGATATTTAAAATATCGCCCACTTCCAGTGTGAAATGTTCTTTATAAAATTAAAGTTTATTGGTGTTTGAGAGGATGAACTTGCATTATTATACCATTATCAATACATTACTTTAAAATGGTCTCAAAATTACAACGTTGTACTTTATCATAATAACTGCAGGGACAATTTATCGTCTGGCAAAACTGATCGGTGGCAGGCCTATTTGTGCGTCGAAAGCTTAATAAAAAAGAGCAGGAATGTAATTTGAACCAAGAAAACCTGAAAATGACATCAAAACATTTCCTGGGTTTGTTGGGGGGAGTGGTGGCTATGAAGTCTAGCAGCTACGCTGAGTAGAAAGACCAAACATCAACAAACAGAAGCACCGCTCACTGGGGTGTTGAAGACCTCATTGTAGCAAACGGACGAGCGCAGGTACCAGCTGATGTTAAAGGCCAGAAATTTTTCACATGACCCCATGTTGTTCAGAACTGCACAGAGGAGAGCAAACAGGATCATCAGACACAATAGGGAGCAAAAGCTCACAGTTTTAAACGACTTTCACAGATTATGTTATCAAGAGGAATGTGAGGTGGGGTGAGGTTACACAACGACCTTGAGCTCCGTAGGTCAGTGAAAAAAATGCCCAGGCACAAAGAAAAGTGGCCATGATACAAGAATAAAACCGAGGCTACAGAGAAACACATGTTTTGATGCGAGTACTTACACCTCATAAAGATGGTGGTGTTGGCGTACAGCGTCTTCCGAAACACAGCGTCCTGTGTCTGAAAGCACAACACAGACAGCAACTGATGAGACTTTATCTGACGCAGCAACTCATCTTTTCTTCCCTTTTCTGGACCTCTATGAGGACCTCTATGAACCGCCTGGCAGTGTCTGGTTTTGCCTATTACGTATTCCACCATTAATGCATCCTTTTCTAATGCCAGTTAGAAAATTCAGGGTAATTTACAAATATACAGATACAACTTTCCAGATGCGTATTGATGAATACTGTTCAATTTTTGGATCGAAGGAAGGAAAGAAGAGAAGAAAGAAAGAGAGGAATCAAGAAAGAAAAATAGAAAGAAAGCTGTGAGGAAGGGTGAAAGGAACGAAGGAAGGGAAGGAGAAAAGGAGGATGAAATTAATTAAGGAACAAAGGGTGCAAGGAAGGATGGAAGGAAAGAAATAAGCCTTCCTCCCTTCTTTTGTTTATCATAAAGAAAATAGATTATTTTCATAAAAATCATTTGCAGTGATATCGCTAAGTTGTATGTAATATTGGCAAATTCCCAAAATTGACACAGGGGTCGGGATTGTTGCTTTTGCTGTTGGAGGTACTTTTTCCACTGTCGTCTCCATGACAGCGCAACAAATACAAAAACAAACATATTTGAAACTACTATTTAATTCAATTATTGTATGTTTTTAAGAGCTACAGCTGCCACATTTAATCTAACTGGAGTTGAGATTAAGTAGATTTGATGGTTCTTAAAATTCTCCTTTGTGACCTTTATTATTATTTACATAAATACAACGAAATATCATGACAAGAGCTTGCTCCATGTAAATGAATGAACTGATGGAATTAAATCTTGGAATTCAAGTTTATCTCTACATCTATTTATTTCGCCTATGGCACAACGGTTAGCATCCCTGAATTTAAGAATACCTTAACAGCAATTATTATTGCTGGCAGGCGTACATCTTTAAAAAAATATATTTTCATTAAAAGCTGCCTTAACAGTCCAGGAGACAGCCTGCCTTTAGTTTGTTACAGACATTTTGGATTCTATCGAAGGAAAATTCCGAGTATTTAAAAAAATGACAAGAACATCAGCAGTCATGTATCATTAGCCTTGCTGACAGCAGCTGGACCTCTCATCCGGAGGAGCGCTTTGCTAGTGGCTAGTTAGCAGCCTTAGCTACCAGCTGCTGAACATTTAGCACGAGCCTGGGCTTTCTCCGTAGAAACGCTCACACCGAAGGTAAAACACTGACCGAGTTGATGTTTACGCTCCATACTGAGACCTCCGCCGCCCTTCCGAGGTGAAAACCGAACGCTAAGACCACCAAACACAAGCGATGAAACTGGACATCTAGCATCTTGCAGAAATGCACTGCAGGTAAGGTGGACTTGCATCCGCCTCCAGGTCCGGCTGGGCGATTTTCCCCTGTAACTTACGCAACCGCCACAAGAGGGAGACAGAGGTCATTAAACAATTCCATATTTTGCCATAAGGTGGATTTCGAACTTGTTTGATTTGAATAATAACAAACGAGAGCTATTTATTCAAACAAAAATGAAAATATTATTCTTTTAAGTATGTATGTATGTATGTATGTATGTATGTATGTATGTATGTATGTATGTATGTATGTATGTATGTATGTATGTATGTTAAATTAGTTAATTTACAATTATGTATTGAAGTGATGATTAAAAACAGAAAAATGCGATTTGAAACACGCAACCCAAGAATAATAGTTTTTTTTTTCTTACAACATAGCGGAACTTTAGCGTTAATGAAATTTTTATAGACGTAGAATAGTTTCCGATGTCATTTTATGCCTCTTATGGCGCATTTTATGTACTAATATTTGTATTAAATATTTTTTTTACTAAATAAAAAAAGTAATATGTTTCCTTGCGGTTTTTTTGTTGTTGATGTTGTTGCTACAATATGTTTTTACTGCCAAGCTTGCCACTCACAATATGGCGGAGTTGCTACGCATCCACTGACACGACGTAGGATTTCGTTTTATTTTGAAAATCCTCACCGTGCGTTGGATTTTTGTTGCGGATTTGACGCACTCACTTCCTTCTTCTACACGCTCAGCCTTCAGCTGTCAATAGGAACACGTTAACTCATAAAAAACCAGTCATTGTGTTTCACTGAAGGAGAAAGGACCACAGTAAACAGCTGCTGTTTCTGTCCGAGTTTGCTTGAAATGGCGGCAAAGAGCGAACCTATTATTAGGTATTTGCATGTTGCTTCATGTTATGTCTGTCCTGCAACTTGACCTTTGGCATATTTTGATGAATAAAACTGAATGGAGAAAGTTTAGATTTGCACATTTAATGCTTTCTATCAAATGAAAAGTATATGGGTCTACTAATTCACTAGATTTTAGGTTTATTTACTTTTTTTATTCACCAATTTTGCATGTAATTTTTTAATAGCTGAATAATGAGTGTAGTCTTTTCTTTTATAACTGGGTTTCAGTGTTGTCCCTAATGATGAGGGGAAGGAGAAATTCAAAAAAAGTGAGAATGTTGCTTTTTACAGGTATGTATACAATATTTTTAATGTGACTTTTTGATTGAGAAAGATCCATGCGCTTATAAATTTTGATCTACTTTTGAGGCGACAGATCCAGGGTCCAAACCTGAAGTACCGACTTCTTTTGGATTCCCTTGTCCTCACGGAGAAGGGCGCACGTTTTGAGCTTTTGGAAGATGGCACAAAGGTTGGTTTACTGAAACTCAACAGGAAAAATTATCCATGTTTTTTTTTCCACATTACATATACTTTATATTGGGGGTAATTTACTCAATTTACAAAGCAGAGCCAGGATTAGTCCAGCGATAAACCTGAGGGACAAAACATTTTCATAAATAGGATGTCAACATCAAAACTTAACTTTTTTTTAAATTAACAATACAAAAGCAGATGAGCCCGACTGCGTCCGCATCAGCATCAAGGGTCAAGTGGTTGTCGACAATTGTACCAAGATATTTCCAATGTTGTACATCCACTGTGCTGTTTATGTTTAATCATTCTTTAGGAAACCTAACCTCTGGCTGAGGGAAGCCATTTATCTGATAAGGAAAAGGGAAAAGTTATTTTTGTACTTCATAAAAATTTATGGCACTTCCCAACAGACTAAAGGTTGCTTTTAAAATAACCCTACGCTTGGGTAAAATACTGATGATCAAATTGGTTTTTATTAGTTTAAAACTTTGACAAAAACATGAAAGGACTTGTCTCTTTGTCATCTTGTCTTGAATTTCTGTCTTTCTGTGAAAGTAATTCAAGAAGGAAGGAAATCCTTTTAAGAAATTGTATGAAATTCTCGGTGGAAATTCTTGAAATTTCACTCATTCTTCATGTTGTGATGTCGATATTTTTTTGATGACATTTATACAGTTGTATCTCTTTGATATAATTTCTCTCTGCCTCTTTGGTCTTTATCAGAAGATCCTTACCCTTCCATCCAAATAAACAATTTTCTTCATGAACCATTTTTTTTATCCACAGACCAGACTGCTTCTTTCTTTGACACCTTCCAAAAACGACACCGTAAGGATCGTAATAGACGAGATCTGGCCCATCAAAACTCGTTACAGAGTTCCAGATGTGTTGACCGGGGAACCTCCTAGTGAACAGTAAGAGCTACCGAACTTCCAATATCCTCTTGTTCCGATTATATTCAGCATTTCTGCATACGAGCATCACTGGAAATTCACCGTTTTCTTTTTTGCAGGTTGAGAGTGGAGAGCAAGACTAAGGACTCCGTCACCCTGTCCTGGTCTTCAGGACGATACCAGGTCAGAGTGTGGCACTTCCCTTTCCGGCTGGAGGTTTTGTGTGATCAGGAAGTGATCGTCACCTTCAACTCCAAGGACAAACTGTGGTTTGAAAGCTTGCAGAATAAACCCAGGTGAAGTTGTAAGACAATCTTTTCATTCTAACAAAGATGGTGGTCCTATAATTATTTAAGATGTCTTTTTTGTTGTTGTTTTTGTATTATTTTTATTTTTATTTTTTTTTAACCTGGCATCATCACAACGTAGTAAGGTGAGGAAATAAGAAAACTCAAAGTGCAAATTCAGGCTGCTCTTTATGAAAACTTCATTTGGTCTTTTGGTTGCTTTCTGCTTCTGTTTCAGCTTGAAGAGGACAAGAAGTCACTGTGGAGGGAGACTTTTAGGAACTTTGAGGACATCAAAGCAAATGGTTTGCACCTGCTTTGGGTTTTATTTCATTCTTTTTTGTTTTCTTCTCTATTTGTATTCCGAAACTTTCATCAACCATTCAATCTTTTCACGGTTGTCACGTAGCAACGACAAACTTTGATTGTGTTAGTGACCGAAACACAGCAGTGTACTGCAGTTACAGCTGTAGGTTGTAGTCTTCTTTTTTCTCACGATTGTGTCCTCTATACCACATGCAGACCCGTTGCTATAGCAACTGATTGACAACAATGTTACTAGTGTCAGGATTTAACACCAAAAAACAGCTAAATGTTTCCCATGCAAAGAACAGAACATTCACTCAGCTACAGTTTTATCTTTTCAGGATTGATGTTTATTTTGTGGTTATTAAAGTGATTATTAATAATTAATCACTGTACTAATCTACCAAATTAGATCATTTAAACACCTGCTCCAGTGATGATCTGTCAGAGAGTTGGAGTGTGTGTCACCTCTTTTCTTTTTAACTGAACTGATACACACCTAATTCCACAGCACATCTACATTAAGGTTGTCAAAGTCAAGCTAGCATAACTGACCTGAAGTAAGTAAGGGGGGATTTTTATTTTAAAAAAGTAAGACCAAACCTTCAAAGTTACATTCTACTTTGTGTTGATCTATCACATAAAATCCCCTCAAAGTAAATAAATGTTTGAGGCTAAAACTCAACAAATGTGAAAAAGTTCAAGACATCGACTGATTCTCGACTTTGTACCCCTTTGGTAACCAACTGCTTGCTTTTGGGGTTTCATCTTTATTACGACAACAAATCCTGAATGTTGATTTAGTTATTTAAGTACTCTATTTTTATTTTTTCCAGGTCCCAGCAGCCTCGGCGCAGACTTCTGCCTTCACGGGTTCCAGCATGTCTATGGTCTGCCGCAGCACGCAGACAGGCTGCGGCTCAGAGACACCAGGTGATCACGTCTCACATCGTCAGTGTCGTCACTTCAACTGTGACATCAACGATGTATTTCCTCCTGCAGCGATGGCGAACCTTATCGGTTATACAACCTGGACGTGTTCGCCGCCGACTTGTACTGCCGGCTCGGTTTGTACGGATCTGTGCCGCTGATAGTGGGTCACAAACCGGACAGGACCGTTGGCGTGTTCTGGCTGAACGCGTCGGACACGTTCATAAACATCCAGTACTCCCCATCCGACCCTCAGGTAAGCTTTTCTCAGTGAGATGAGAATGTTTTTTTTTTCTATAATTGCTTATTTTTCAAGGAGGAGAAGCAACATTATACAGCTTTCATGTTCAAGAATAATTACACTTACCCTGCTACCTGCACATTGTAGTTCCAGTTACAATTTTTCCTCATTAATTACCGTTTTTATTTATTTCATTTTAGTTAAGTATAACAACCTTTGTGAATGCCATCTGGTTAAAAATTGAAAATTTTCCCCAAAACAAAAAAGGCAGTCAAACTTTTTTATCAAACTTTTCGCAATGCACTGCAACTTTTTCATGTGCAAAATGATTTCCAGTGCCAAACTCTCCGTCTCGCAGGGCGGTGAAACGCCTCCGGTGAAGAAGCGGCGGCTGCGGCCTCAGACCGACGTCCACTGGCTCTCGGAGAGCGGCGTGATCGACTGCATGATTCTGCTCGGGCCCGCGCCGCAGCAGCTCTTCAAACAGTACGCTCAGCTCACAGGTGCGCAAGTGGTTGTTAATTTATTGGAACATTTTGCGTATCTAAAAAAAAAATAAAATAAAATAAAAAAATCACTTCTTGTTATCTTGCCATTTAGGATACCAAGCCATGCCGCCGCTGTTTTCCCTCGGTTACCACCAGTGCCGCTGGAACTACAACGACGAGGCCGACGTGAAGGCCGTGGACGCCGGGTTCGATCGCCACAAGATCCCGTACGACGTCATCTGGCTGGACATCGAGCACACGGACGGGAAGCGCTACTTCACCTGGGACCCCGCTCTGTTTCCCAAACCGGCGGCTCTGCAGCAACATCTGGAGAAGAAGAAGCGGAAGGTCGGTTGCAAAAATTTGCACAATTTACTGAATTTTCCTTTTGCTTTGAACCTTTTTTTGTTTGTTTGTTTGTTTGAATTTCAGATGATTGTGATAAGTGATCCGCATATTAAGGTCGACCCTGATTGGCCGCTCTACCGTGAGGCCAGAGATGGAGGGCATTTTGTTAAGGACAGAGAGGGGCAGATCTTTCAGGGAACATGCTGGCCAGGTGATGCCTGACCAAAAACTGCACCAACCTCTG